GGGGCCCCTAGAGCGGGATGCCCCTCGCGACAGCCCCCACCCGCTGGGAACACTCCCTGCAGCCTCCACTCGTGGGTTCTCTCCTGAGCCGGGGGGCGAGGTCGGGAAGGGGCAGAGGCTTACCGGGCGCCAAGAGCCAGGCTCGCGGTGGGGAGGGGGGGGCTTTCCCCACCCCACCCCGGTAGCCCCTCGGACGCCGGGGCGGGGTGGCGGCGGTCAGGGTCTCCGTCTCCCGCTCGGCCCCCTCCCCAGTCTCACTGAGGCCCGGGATCCTCAGGCACGCTTCTGGGGGGCTCCCCCACCCTGTACCCTTCTCAGTGTCCAACCCTCCAGGCCTGGAGCCGGCGGGAGCGCCCGACCATCCGTCTCGGTTCAGACCCCCTCGAGCGGAGTGCGCACTGCGGCCCGCAAGCGCCGTAGGGTCTGGGGGGCGCGGGGTGGGGGCTGCGCATCCCAGGCCGTGACCCCAGAACAGAGATGACAGCTGGTCTCTACCCCGGACACCCCGCGCCTGGCGAGTGGGTGCGCAGGACGGGCTTTGAGTCGAGAGCGGCGGGGGCAGCCCCCGGGCCCCCACACAACCTGGGCCTTTGTGAGTGTCCGCCCCCCATCCCGGGCCAAGGTCCCCACTGCCCAGCCCAGCGCCCCCCTCCCAGTGCAGAACCGGCAACCTCCCCGCGCCGGTTTCCCCCGCCCGCCCGGTCCCCCCAGTCCGCTCCCCAGCCGCGCGCTCCAGCGGGACTCCCCCACCAGCGCCTCTCTCCTGCGCCTCTGCTGCCCCCCACCTCCCGGGGCCCCCCAGCCTCCCCCTGCCCGCCGGTCCCCCACCTCCCTCCGCCTTCATTAGCATAGCAGCTGCTTGCCGAGCAGGGACCCGCGCGGAGGAAAGGGCAGAGGCCTCGAGAATGAATGGGGGCCATGGCTTTGGAGGGGGCAGGAGAAGAAAGACAGACAGACGCGCGCGGAGGACGGCTCGACGTACAGCCAAGCAGAAGAATGCGCCCGACGACGATGGAGGGGAGGGGAGTGCTGGAGGGGGAGCGGGGAGCCGGGCCACAGAGGCGAGTGTGCAGTGGGAGGTGGGGGAGGGCGGCCTCCAGAGACCCCAAGCCCCAGGAGGAGGCTGCGCTGGAGGCCTCCGGGAGGAGCTGTCTGGGAGGTTCCCAGACCTCCCACGGCCCCCTCTCGCCCAGGCCCTCAGGACCTGGGCCCAGGCTTTGTTCCCCAGCTGCCCCGTGTCTGGCAACCTCTTCCTCCTTCCCTCCCAGGTGGACAGCCACCTCTTTGAGCTGCCAGACTGCCTATGTGGGCCCTGCGCTGAGCCCCCAGACCTTTGGGGGTGGGAGCCAGAGGGCAGCCCCTTCCCTCTGCTTCTCCTAACCCCCCCTCCCTGGTCTGGCCTCCAAATCCTGCCCTCCCTCCTCTGGCAGGCTCTGTCCTGGCTCCCACGCCTGTTGACTTTAGACATCACTCTTTCTGGCTGACCATTTTCCTGCATTTCCTGGTCTCTCTCTGGCATCCATTCCAACAGTAAACACTTCCTGTGTCTGGCTGGGGTCAGGTCAGAGAGACAGACAGTTGGACAGGAGCCGCCATCTCTCCTGGTTGGGGGTGGTGGGGGAGGCCCTACCCTTGTCGGTCTGGTCTGTCTCCCCTTCTCCTTGGCAAGCACCCCAGGACTTCCCAGCAACCCAGCCCCTGCCGACAGGACCCCTCCGCCCTGGGCGTCCTCAGTGCTCCTGGCTGGGACCCGCACTTGGCCTCCACAGCAGACCTGTGGATCCTGGGAGCCAGACAGAGAGGTCAGCTCTGACTTCTTTCTTATGCTGGCCACAGAGGCTGGAGAGGAGGCTTCTGTCCCTGAAGGGCCACCTGGGGAGGGGCTCCCAGGTGACACCATTGGCCAGTTGGCACTGGTTCCTGAGCACGGACGTTCTGGGCAGAGAAGCTGCCCTTCCTGCCTTGCTCATTTGTTCACAGCTCTGACCCCAGACGGTGGAAGGAGGGATGTGGTTGTCGTGTGCGTCTGTGTCCTGGGGCCACCACCAGTGAAAGGGCCGCGAACCGCCCCTGAATACGTGTCTTTGACACCCCCAGTGTCCCTCACCAGCAGCCAGGGCCCAGGCTGGGGGGTAGGGGCGTCTGTGCACAGAAAAGCACCTAGGGAAGCAAGGCCCCCAAACCCCACCAGGCCTCCTCCACAGCTGTGGGGCTGAGCAGGGCCTGGCCTCCTTTTTGTCCGTGCTGGAGAGAAAACGATTGCTCTGTGAGCAGCACAAAGCCTTTCTCAGTCAAATGCGTCTCGCAGAGGGAGGACTTTTGGGAACCACGGACTGGCAGACAGTCTCCCAGGGTGGCGGCCGGACCGGGCCTGGGAACCAGACCCCTCCCTGGCAGCTGAGGCTGGAAGCGTTAGCTGCGGGCTCTGAGCCGGGTTCCTCCATCTCTCGTGTGTGACAGTGCCTTCGAGGGAGCCGGAGGTCCGGTCCTGCTTGCCCGCGGGCCACCCAGAGTGCCCAGGCCTGACTGCATTCTCCAGAACGCCCCGCAAAGCCCACGTTCTTGCAGCAACTCCCCCTTTCGAGGCCTGGCAGGCCTGGCACCCTCCGTGCACTCTGCCCGCCAGTGCAGTGGGCACGGCCTCCCCTGGGAGCTGGTTTGCATCGGAGATTCCCCTCCCCTCTGAGGGTGTCCGAGGCCAGTCTCCAGGCCAGCGGAGGGGACCGCAAATGCCTATCTCACCCTCAGGAGAACGAGCTCAGAAAGCCCTCGGGGCCAGAACAGAGCAGGGTGTGCAGAGGAGGACCTGGAAGGCACAGCCCCCGAAGCTGCCAGTGTGGGAAGGGCAGTGTGTCTGCAGGACCGGCACCGAGGACCGACCGGCTGACAGGAAGCTGACACCCTTTGGCTGCTGTAGAGGACTCCGAGGTACAAGAAAATGCTGTACCCTTCTCCGGCTCTCCCTCCTCGGGATCCACTGCTGACCTCCCCTGCACTCCGTTCTCATAAGGCCCCAGGGCCCTGGGGGCATCCCAGGTCTGTGCGCCAAGAGGCTCTGCTCATCCCATAGGCCGAGGAGCAGACGCCCAGCTCTGCGCTCCCCTCGCACAGCCAGGCAAACGGTCTACCCTGGAGCCTGTGCTCCCGGGGGCAGGCTGGCGTCCCCAGCGCCCAGATGCCACCAGCGGAGAGAACAAACAGGACTCTCAGTGGTCAGGAGGGAACAGCGAGGATGTTCCCCAGATTTAAGAAACACCCCTTCTGTGCAGCCCATGGTCCAGCATAAACCCACAGCAAAGGAAAGCGGTGGTGGGCAGAAGGGCCCGGTCATCTGAGGGCCTGCTTCATCTCTGCCTGGGGGGTGGGAAGAGCTTCAAGAACTTTCCACATAGAGGCCTTAGCCGCTTTGCCAGGTAGCTGGGGAAACAGCTTGTGGGCTGGTTCTGGGCGCTCTCAGGGTGGCCTAAGCTCCCCGCAGCTGGGAGAGGGTCCTCCCCAGGCACCTCACGAATCCCATACAGGGGCGGGGGGGCGACTGGGGCTGGCCCTTGAGTTGAGCCCAGAGCCAGGCTGTCTTTGGTGAAGACCAGCCAAGCGTTGTGTAGACGGCACCCAGCATGCTGCAGCCTGACCCTCCTCCTGGGTGCCAAGACCAAGAAGAACCAACAAACTTTTTTAATTAAAAAAAAATCAATGAAAAATTTATTCATAAATTTTTCATGCTGGGCTACAAGTCTATTTCGTACACTCAGGAATGTGCTGACTTTATCCAGTTAGAAGTGATCATATCAGGACCCACACACAGCTTCCATATAAGCCTAGAAAGTCTTAACATTAATTAACATAATTAAAAAGGTATTTGCATCTAGAAAAAATATACAGAAAAACTCCTTTTGGAGTAATCTGTGCCTCAGTTTCAATGTCTGCTTGTTTCACAGACATTATCAATATATTCTGCTCACACAAGGGTTTATAAAAAGCCACAGATGACTGCCCGAGGCTGACCAGCCACGCACAAAGGGCCTCCACCCACCTGTGTCCTCAAGTGCTCCCCATTTTTGCACGAAGGGTCAGCAGCACTTCTACCCAGGGGAAGCCTCATTTAAATTTGAATAATTCAGCCTCCCTTTTATTTCTCAGGATCAAAACAACAAGGGGTGTGGGGTTGCATAGAAAATTAAAACCTCGGAGACCAGGAAGGGCGCCTTTCGGGACAGAAAGTGACGCAGAAGCCCCGCCTCCGGCCCAGGTCCCCGCGCGGCCCCTCCCCCATGACAGGATTTTTCGGATTCGAATCGGGTCCTTGAAGCTCCGGGAGACTGAAGAGGGGCAAAACAGTCCTTCAACTCACTCAGCAATTAGCACAAGAGATTCACAGTCTTATAGGTATTTTATAAAAATATAAATATGGGTACACTGTTGCCTTCACAACGCTGGATACAACGCCCTTTAAAATTGGGTTTATAACCAAGATTCAAAAAATACACCTAAAACTTGGCTTAAAATATGTTAATATTTTATATTCTGTCATAAATGTTATGACATTCAATCGTGGCAAATCCATTTACTTTTTTAAAAAAAGTGTTCAACAGACTAACTATAATAGAACTCACTAGAAAAGGTATGATCCCCTCCGCCCCGCCCCCCACCGCCACACCCGAGCCACCCATGCTGCCGAGGAGGCTCCGCAAAGCCAGCAGGTTTGGGGGATGGTGGCCTCCCCAGGAGAGGGCAGAGGGAGGCCCGGGGCTTCCAAAACTCCCTCGGAGCTGTGTGTCCGAGTGTAAGAAGGAGAGACGGGAGGGGAAAGAGGGGAGGGGGAGGGGAGAGAACGGAGGCAGAGGGACTAGCACGGAAGAACCATCGGGCTGGGCGGTATTTTCAGTGCAACCAAGAAACGACAGACTCAAGTTTTAGTTTTAAGACTAGGAAACAGAAATGCATCTCCCCTATAACCGCATTGACCACGCACAGTATTTTCCAAACAAACAAACCAAAAAAAAACAAAAAAAAACAAAAAAAAATCAGGCGCACAAACTTCACCCACAAATATACACACACATGATAAATAGTTTAGAACCCCAGGATCAGCGAAGCGTCTCCACCATCGCGCGTCCGGGCCGCAGACGCCCCGCCGTGGCCCCTAGGCGACTGCGGGCTTCAGCCGCGGGTTCTGCGGGCGGCGGGGCGCCCAGAGCCCGGCGTCCCCGCCGCCCGCTTTCCACCTTCGGGAGAAAACATTCTGCCCGGAGGATCCGGTGTCTCGGGAACTCCGAACTTGCTGGTAGCGAGACTCAAATTTCAAAGGGGCTGCAGCCCGCGCCCCGCCCCCACCTCCCGCACAACGCCCCCCCACCACCACGAGGCGGCGGGCGGGGCCGTGGGAAGCCCTCCGCCCGGGTCCGGTCGGCCGCGCGGGGGCGTCGACCCCTGGCAGCGGGCGCCGCGCGGCCCCCGTGGGTGCGGACGCGCGCGCCAGACTCGTCGTGGCCTCTGGGCCGGGGAGCCCGGTGCGCACCGAGGTAGTTGGCGGGAAGGTACAGCAGACGACACGCTCGAGGCCCGCGTCCGGGTCCGGGCAGGCATCACCGGCCGCCGCCCGCGTACTTGGCCTTGGTGATGAGATAGAGCACGATGTCCTGGTGGCCGCCGAACGCGGCGATGTGTAGCGCGCTCCAGCCGTCGCGGTTGGCCAGGCGGATGTCGGCGCCGAACTTGACCAGCAGCTTCACGAGTTCCAGGTTGCCGTCGATGACCGACTGGTGCAGCGCCGTCTGGCCCTCGGGCCCGAACGAGTTCACGTTGAACTCGCAGTTGGTCATGTTCTGCAGCAGCGACTGCAGCTCCTGCGTGTTGCCCTTGCGCACGGCCTCCTGGAAGATGCGCTGCGTCTGCGGCGCCGAGCAGGTGGACAGCTCGGCCTGGCTCATGCTGCCGCCGGGCGCGGGCCGCGGGCCGCGCTGGGGCTCAGCGGGGGCGGCGGCGGCTGCGGCGCGGGCCTCTGGCTGTCTCGGGGCGCGCCTCGGCGCATGGAGGGCGCGGAGCCCCCGGGCCCCGCACGCCGCTCCTGGGCGTTCCGGGCGCTGGGGGCCGGGGGCCGCCGCCGTGGGGCCCCCGCCGCATCCAGCCGCGCCCGGGTGGGCGGGCGACGGAGGCGGGCACTGCGCTCGCTGGGGCCTGTGGGCCCGGCGGCGGCGCCGCGCGTTCCCGGTCCGGGCTTGCTGCGGCTCCCACGCTGGTACCACGCGCCTCCCCACGCGCAGCTGCTCTCGCCCGCCCGCCGCGCCGGGCCGCCTTTTACCTCCTTTATATTTGCATAACAATAGGGCACCGGTGACGCGCGCGCCGGCGGCCCTACGATTGGGCGGCGCCCACGTCGGGGCGGGGCGGGGGCGGGGCGTGCTTGGGCGGCAGCGCGCTTCTCCGCAGGGGGCGCTGGTCGCCGGCGGGGGGCCAGGTGGCTGTGGTTGGCGGTCGGGGGGCCTGGAGGGGTGGGGGTGGGGGTGGGGGAAGGTGGAGGGGGGAGTCCTTGCTCCACGCGCCCTGGGGCTCTCCGCATCTCCGCCGTCGTCCCGCCTACTCTCCCTTCGGCCACCCGGGGAATTCCAAGCTCCCTGCTCGGACAGACCCAGGCCTGATCCCTGGCCGAGCGCGCCCCGAGGTGGACCCGAGGGCGGCCTCCCATGGTGGGTTCGTGGGCGTTTCAGACCCGGGAGGCCCGGGTAGAGACCCGACTCTCGCTCCGCGCTCCCGGAGCGCCAGCCCTAGACCCTCCGCGTCCCTAGCACGCCGGGTGCGCGGCGACAAGACTGGTCCAGCCTGGCCTCCAGGACACAAGCTCCTGGCGGGGGCTAACTCCACAAACAGCTCGGGCGTGTGACCACAGCCATGCGGTCCTTCCCGCACGCGGGCCGCTCCTCTGGCGGCGCGATCATTCCGCGTTTACTCCGCGGCGCCGCCCGGACCAAGAAGCAGGGGTCTCTACCTGAGCGAGCCTGGGGCTGCCCCCCTCCACCCCACTCTCACTCAGAAGCTCCTCCAAGGGGAGGGGTAAGGCCAGTCAGCGGGACCTCAGGGCCTGCTTCCCTCTGCTGGGTCACCTCCATTAGCACGACTAGGGATGGTGGTGGTGGTGGTGGGGGGAAGGTGAGCAGCCCCAGGTAAGGCGCCAAGGGCCGCTGGGAAAGGAAACCCAGAAATGACTCATTTCCAAACTGTAAACCCATTTTTTATTGATGCTCTAATACTGCCGCCAAATTTCCTCATTAGGATTTTACAGTTTATAGCTGGGCTGCGGTGGCTGGGAATCGGGCAGGAATGGTCTCAGAGCAGCAGGCTTGGGGCAGCCGGGGAGCCCCCCAGGAGCTTGCTCTCCCAACAGAAGCCGCTGGGAGTTCCCACCAGGCAGCCAGGCCTTATCAGGGGAGACCACCCTGCTAGGCCTCGTTTCGGGATGGGCTCCGGTGGGTGTCTGCCTGGTGGTCCAGGTCTGGACACGTGCATGGGGTGCCCCCATCTTGCTGTGTGCTCTGGGGGAGTCACAGCCAAATCATAGGCAAAACTGGGTAAGGCCACCCCAGGGCTGGCTGCCTCTGGTCAGCTACCCTCAGGATTGACTGCAGCGGCCTGTTGTGGGGTCCTCCTGATGGCCGGAGCTCCCAGAGTCCCTCACTTTGGTCTCCCCGAGGCTGGCGGTCTGCGTGGTGGTCCAGGTGTTCCGCTCAGACTTGGTCCCCCCAGGAGCTCCCCACTGTGCAGTTGGGTAAGCCCAGGCTTGGCGGAGCTCTGTGCTAGGTCCAGCTGTGGTTGGGACCTGGGGGCTGCTGGTATCAGGAACCCTTCCCTTGTCCCACTCATCTTACCCGCAAGTGTCCCTGGGCCCAGTAAGGGGGCCTGGGAACAGATGCTGCTGGAGTGTGGACACCTGGAGGGCAGGGCCCTTGGTCACCTCCAGCACCCCCTTCCCGGCAACTCCCCAGTACCAGGAAAGAGGGCATAGGCCCTGTCCATTGGGGCCTGTAACTCCCTCTGGACGGTGACTCTCAGACCAGGTGAGTGAGCGTGAGACCCCGTGCAGGGCTGTGACCCTAGGCAGACATGTAGCCCCCTGCTTCTCCCGGGAACAGGTCTGGGTGTGGACGGCAGGGCCCTCTGAGAACACATCCTCAGCTCTGGACGGTGCCCAGGGCTGCCCCCTGAAGGCAGTGGGCTCAAAGACAGGCCCTAGCCCAGGTGGGCTCAGGTCCCCGGACCTGAAGAAGGGCATCTTGGAGACCCTGCTGTGCCAGGGAGCAGAGCCTGGGAGAAAAGCCCCATTGACACTGCGAGGGCTTCAGGGAGGGCAGACAAAGGGGCCCTGTGAGCTCCGCGTGGGAACATGCGGCCGCCACCACGGGGCATGAAATCGGTGGTTTGGGTGCCCCCCAGCTGGACCAGCGTGGCCGTAAGAGTCCAGGCAGAGGTTGTCTCCTGCCACACCCAGGGTTCTGTGTGAGGGTCGAACAGGTGTAGCCAGGCCTGCCATTGTGGGGTTCAGGTGACGGTCACAGTGTCCCTGGGGAGCAGATGGAATTCTCCACCGTGGCTGGGTCGTTTCATTCTGAGCCAGTCTGCTCCACACGCTAGGAGCTGCCCCGGTTGAGGAAGGAGAGAAGAGGGGTCCCAGTCCAGAAGGAGGACATTTGTTCCAAATGCCTTGGAGGGAGGGGGAGAGGCCCGCCATCGGTCAGGCCCTGCCCTGGGGCTCGGAGAAACCCCCCTCTGGTGTTTGTGGCTCTCTTGGTGGTGTCACTTCCACAAACAGGCCGACGGTTCCCTGGCTGGGAGGGAGAAACCCCTGAGTTGGGATCTGTGGAGACCCACTGAACTCTGACCACGTAGCTGTGCCCCATCCTTCTCTGCATCAGCTCAGGATCCTGGCCCAGGGGCGCCAACCCACAGGGCCACGGAGGGGCGGAGGCTGGGGTCGCAAAGGGCCCCTTCTTCCTTTCCAGACTCAGGGCGGTGGGCGGTGGGGAAGCAGCGTGGGTAGGGGTGGGGCAGCCTGGGGAGCATTCTGGGATATGGGCCGGGAAGAGCTGGGTGGGGCAGCCTGGGGAGGACCACGAAGAAGAGGCGGCTGCCCAGAGCTGGGCCAAGGCCTGCGGCCACCTTAAAGGCACCAGGCGGGGGAGGGAGGGCAAGCAAGCAGGCGGGCAGTGGGGGCGGGGCTTCCAGCTAATTCATTAAAATGTGTCGGGGAGCGTGGGAAAGAGGAGAGTGTTTCTTCCCAGCAGCCCAGACACCTGGTAGAAGGGCCGAGAGAGGATAGAGATCAAATAACAAACACTCAGCCCTCGGCCAGAGCCAGAGCGGAGGAAGGACGCCCAGGGCAGGAACTGCGGCAGACAATCAGTGCTGGGCTCTGGCCGGGCAGGCTGCAGGGCATGGCCTGGCACTAGGACTGGAGCCCACCCTGGGGCCATGGTGCCTGACCCCCTGGCCTGGAAGGGGGTCTAAGGTGTCCTGGGGCCTCAGAAGGCTCTTTGGGTGGACCTCCTGATGGCTCAGGACCCAGGGTTTGCTGTAGAGCCAGGCTAGGAGGGCAGCAAGCACGTGAGCCCTGGAGGGTCCCCGGAGGGAGACAGCCAGCCTGGGCAGCAGAGGTGGGGGAGGCGGAGGGCAGGCTGGGTGGCACCAGTGCCGCTGTGAGGGGCACACTGAGAAAGGGCCCCACTTGGCCACCCTCTTCTCCCTTTAGAGGTACACAGGGCAGAGGGGTGCTGGGGCTGGGCCTGCCCAGAGGAACAGCAAAGAGACTTGGTCTCCCGTCTCCCCACGCTTGTCCCTTGTTCTGGCCTCTTTCTGCTGAGGGCCAGCTGCAACCGACCCCAGGGCCCTGGGTCGGAGGAGAGCTTCCAGGAAGCAGCTGGGGCTGGCAGTGGGGCCAGCACCCTGGCGGCTTCCTCCTTACCCTGCCGCAGGAGAGCAGGCTCAGGGCTGCCACCTAGGACAGGGCGGGCGGTCTGGCTCTTGGAAGCATCATCCCAACCACAGAGGGTCCCCCACCCCTGGTGGGGGTCTGGCTTGCCTGCTCACCTTGGCAGCCCAGCTTGACCCTCAGGCTCAGCAGTGACCAAAAGGTGGGGGAGGCCAGTTTGCAGACTTGGCCCTGACACAGAGCCCACCCAGCCTGGCTCTGGCCTCGGAGCCTCTCCGTCCGTCTGTGCAGTGACCCCAGAGTTGCTGGGGTCTGAGAGCCTGGTGCACAGGGGGCACTTCCAGGGAAAGAAGAGGTTGAGGGATGTGGCAGGTCGTCTGTATGGCCTTTCAGCATGACCCCCAGCCCGGGCGGGGGCAGGCCTGGCACGGCCAGTGCCCACCTGGTACCTGAGGCCATCACACCTGGGCCTGCAGGTGCTCCCTGCCCTGGGCAGAGGTGGCAGCCCCGCCCCAGCTCCCAGGCCCCCACAGCCCAGAAGCTTCCGCCTGGGCTCCTCAGCCAAATCTGAGCTGGTTTCCGCTCAAGGCAGGAAGGACAGGAAAGGGATGTGTGGGGGGTGCATTCCTGGAGGGTGGGCCAGGAGGAGGCAGTGAGGGCAAGGTGCTGTCTAGGCTCCTCTCCCTGCCCACCTGGCACCAGTGCCCATGGGCCCTCGGGGTGCCAGCCATGAGTGCCTGCGCCTCAGTTTCCCTCCGAGTGGGTGAAGAAGCAGCTGCTTCCTGCAGTTGTGGGAGAGGGTCTTGTGTGCAGGCCCCCCTCTGACTTCGGCTGCTGCCTCTTTCATGAGAGGAGGCCGCCCAGCCTCCATGTGGCGGGGAGTGGGGGGAGGACGGGGGTGGGGGCAGGAGGCCAGCAAGGGAGCCGGAGCCACAGACTCAGAGGGGCCGCCTCCCCTCCAGGCCATGGCCTTCCAGTACACAGTGGATGTCTTCCTAGAGGGTGGCTGCACTGCCCCTGGCACCAGGCAGGACTGGGCCCTGGTGCCTGGGAAGCTCCCCCTACCATATTACTCCCCAGGAATCAGAGGACCCTGGAGGGCCAGCCTGGCTGGGAACTACTTGGAGGAAGGGGGGAAGGTCCTGTCCTGCTTGGCCTGGAGCCTTGGCCCTTGGCCTGAGAATGCCAGCAGAGTGGGGTAGTGGCGGGAGCGGGGGGTAGGGGCTACTACAGCAAAGGGAGTGGACCACCAGCACGGTGGGGGGGCCTGTGCCCCCACCCCCCAGCCCACTGAGCCCCGCGCTCAGGGAGCCACTTGGGTCCCACCCTTGGGCCTTTGTGCCATTTCCTCTGCCAGGCGTGTCCTTCCCACCTTCTGCCGGCCTCATTCCTGAATGTTCAGGCGGCTCTCGGCTCAGGGTCCGAGCATCCTGCCCGTGTGCAAAACCTTGATCCCCTCCACCTTGCTCCAGCCTCTGTGCGGGGCTGGAACCCTGCTGGCATGCCGGTGGGGAGCACTGGGGTGTGTGCAGAGAGCCTGGGAGGGAGATGCAGACCAGCGGGGCCAGGGGCCCTGTCCTCAGGGGAGGCCGCTGACAGGATAGGGCGGGGGGCGGCAGGGCCTGGAGGCCCCATCCAGGACTTCGAGGAAATGTGTGGTGATGCGGCCCAGGTGGGAGCCCTCCCAGAAGACCTTGCCACAGCCAGTGCAGCAGTAGAAGGGGCGTGGGCCCTGCCGCTGCAGCACACCCTCCGGGACCCCCGCCAGCTGCAGTCAGGTGCCGTTGCGCAGGACGGCGGGCGCGTGGGACTGCAGATCGGCCGCCTCCAGCCAGCGGCAGGGCAGGTCATGGGTGCAGCTCCCAGGGGCCTCCTCCGGGGCTGAGCCTGGAGAGGGGGAAGCACACTCACACCCCGCAGCCTTTGGGTGTCCAACCCCCATCCCACTCCTTCTGGCAGCTCCTCCCTGTGTTGCCCCATCCACCCAACCCTCTGCCTCATCTTACCTGTGGACCCTTGGCCCTCCCCGCTGGTACTGGCTGCCACCCCTCACCTAGGGCACAGGACCATCCTCTCTACTGGGCCAGGGTACAAACCCCGGCTTGGGGTGGGGCCCTGTGTCCTCAGGGAGTGGTCCCAGGGCTCACCTGCCTCCTGTAAGTCTGCGCTGGGGCTGGCCTCATCACCTGCCAATCAATCAAGGACATCAGGAATTGTCCTAAGGATGGGGCCTGGCAGCCCCAGGGCCCACAATGAGCCTTGGGGCACCCAGCCCCTCCCCCCACCCTTAGCAGAAAGGGAAAAGGGCAGGGGCTAAGGGGCTTTGGTGCCAGCCTGGGCCCCTCCCATGGGAACGCACACCTTGGAATGTTCTTGGGGCTCAAAGGTCCTTGGAAAACAAGTTCTGGGCGTGAGATTGGCCAATTAGGGCACTTGGGGGCCTGAGAACTGGCGGGTGGGGGCGGGGGCAGACGTCCGCAGCGATGAGCAGATAAGCCCCTGCCAGGGGAGCGCGTTTCCTAACAGCCCTCATTGGGGCGGGGGCCCAGGGGCCCTGCTGGAGCTCAGGGTGCTAGCAGAGACCCTGGGATGCGACCTCCTGACTCCGCAAGAGGGTTCCTACCCCCACTAGGAGCGCAGGGAGGTGCCGGGGAGCTGGCCAGGCGAGGCGGTGATGGCTGAGGAGCACTGGCCAGCGGGCGGGAGAAGGGTCCTCCCGGGTTCCGCTGACCTTCCCACTTGGCTCTAGATCAATGGCAGAGGTGGTCTGTCGGGATGAGCTCCTCACCCCAGCCCCACGGCCCTCGGGAACCCAGCAAGGCCACGACCTCCCTAGCTTGCCCTGGCCGGTCTCAGCCTCCACCTGGAGGCCCCTGAGGTACCAGGTGGCCCGCGGGAGGACTGCGGTGGTGACCGCACGCCGGGATGGGCCGATGGCTGGAGGGCCGGAGGAGCAGAGAGGACCGGAGCCCGGCGCCAGCGCCAGCGGACGGCACTGCGCATGCTCAGATCCTCCCCGCCCGGGCCTTGGGCCCCCGGCGGAGAGAGGACAGCTGCTGGGGCCTGACCCAGGCCATCACGATGGCTCACCTGAAGAGTGGGTGGCCCCCCACTCTGGCCCCAAACCTCAGAGGGAGGCGGGAAGAACAAGTGGGGAGGTCAGCATCCTGGAGCGGCCCCGGGCCTCAGGCTGAGCCCCCAGAGAGGGTCCCAAGACGCGCTTGTACCCATCCCATCCTTGCCCTCCAATGAGGAAGGGCCGGGAGCCTAGGGAGCAGCAGCCAGGCTCTCTCTGGTGCCCCCTCCCCGGGGCCCTTCTCTCCAGAGGGTGGAGGTGCCAGTGATAGGTATGGCCGGGCACACGCAGGACCCTGCAGCCACTTCAAAGTCTCCCGCTGCTCTGCATCCTCTCTCGTTTCACAAACACGGAAACTGAGGCTGGGCCTCTGGCTGGGTGTTGGGGAGGACGTCTGGGGTTTGCCCTCCTTGCCGTCTGTCCACGCTAGACTACCTTCACACGGCTTAGCAAGCGCCCGGGGTGCGGAGGAGTGCAAGCAGATGCCACGTGTGCACAAGCGTGCGTGAGGGAACAGGTGCGTGTGTGCTGGCCCGCGAGCATGCAGGCATCTCTGCATGAGAGGTTTGCGTGGGTGCGTGGTTGCTCCCCGTGCAGGGCCTCCTGGACAGAGGGTGGGGGAGGCCACCCTAGAGGGACGCTGAGTGTTGGAGCTCCCCGGTCCCTGTGACCTTAGCTCGTCGTGTGCTGTCCTTCCCCAGCCCCTGGCCACACGTGCACTTTGGTCCTGGGAATACCTGTTGTTGGGCCACTGTCCACAGACCCCCACGGAGCCCGAGGCCAACCACGTGGGGCACACACACCTGTGCTGTGGGGCCTTCCCGGTGGCTGCCAAGCCACACCAGCTGCTTCATCATCTCCTTGGAGACCTTCAGGTACTGGTCGCAGTTACAGGCCTGGGGACAGAGGGATGCCGAGGTGAGGTGGGGCTCCTTCTGTCCTCCCACCCACAGGCTATGCCCCTTGCAGCTCTGGGTCTGGCTAGGGGGTTTCACAGACACAAATGACACATCCCTTCCCGTCTCCACAAGACAGGGCACACCACTGCCTGGGAGCCCTCCTTGACTACTACGGATCCTAGTGGACCCTGGGTAGCTTCTTCTAGTTCCTGAGACCCCGTGGCACTCTGCTGTCACCTGGGCTGTTTTTCCCAAACCCCCAGGTCTCGAGGGCAAAGTGAGGCCTAGGCAGCCCTGGGCTGGCTCCGCATGATGGGGGACACAGGGCCCAGCATTAAAGGGTCAGGGTAAACAGTGCTATGGCTGATCCCTCTGCTGGTCTTGGGGTGAGCCAGGCCATTTCCATGTTTCTTGATGGTCCCCATTGGGCACTGTGAGGGATCAAGAAGGAAGCCAGTTCTGCTTCTGTTTGGGGTCCTTGTCTAGAACATGCCACCAGCCCCTGTCGGGAGTTGAGCCCAGCCCTGCTGACCTTACGGCGACCCTGGCAGAGGCGGGGGCTTCTGGGGGCCATCCTGCCCTCCCCACACAGTTGCCCTGGGCTTGCCTTCCGGTGGGTCCTGCCTGACAGGGTGAGGGACCCCAGGGCTCCCGGCATGAGGTGGGCAGGGCCCTGAGGGAGAGCAGGAGGGCCCAGGTCCCTAGAGACCTGGCTGGCAGGCAGGTAGGCACAGGTGCCCGTGGAGACATGCACAGCGGTCACAGCCCTTCCAGACGTCAGAGCAGGACGAAGTAGAGACAAGAGCAGGGCCTGGGGGGTTCCCAGGCCTCAGGGGGGAGGGGGCCATGATCTGTACTCACGGGACCTCTCTTGGCCCCCTCCCGGAGGCGCCGGGCCAGTGCCCTGGATGTCATGGCTCCCAGGGGTGGGTGGTTAGGCGGCACCACGGGCCCCTGCAGCCTCAGGGTGTGCCCACGTCAGAGGCGGTGCCCCCCCACCCCCACATGCCCTTTTCCCACGGGCCTTTCGACACTGTGAGCTGGCTTTACCTGTGGCCTCATGGCTCCACATCCGGCCTCAGGAGCCGGGCCTGGGAGCGCAGCATGGGTGCGGCGGCCTCGGCTGGGAGGCCGGGGCGGGGCTGGGCCAGGGCTGATCCCAGGCAGGACCCTTCCTCCTGCCTCTCTGGGGGGCCTCCTGTCGGCCTAGCCACCTCTGCCAACCAGAGCCTGGGCTGGCCTGTGGCCCAGGGAGTCTGTGGGGGCACGGGGGAGGCACCTGGCTTCCTGGTCATGGATCCAGGGGCCTCCTAGGGTGGGGGGCCTGCCTGGGGAAGGAGCGGGAACTAGGGGGCAGCAGAGCCTCCGCTGCTGCCCCGGGCTGCCCACCACAGAGGCCCCCCTTCTCCCTGCACAGGCCTCCCTGGGGGTTGGAGCTGGCAGGTATGAGAGGGACGGAGCAGCGGCAAGAGGGTGGGACCCTGTTGGGTCTGCCAGCCTCCCCGGGACCTGGCCTGGTGTGCACACCTGGGCGGGGCAGCCAGCTCATGTGCTGAGTCACTGCACACAGACAAACGGCCGGTGCCATCCCCAGGACCTGGCCCCACCCTCGGGAACCACCGGGGCCGGTTTTCCCACGGCCGCTGCCCACTGTCGGGGCCCTTGCTGTCACCCCATAGGGCCCTGGAGGCCCTGCCCTCCCCCCACCCCCACCTGGAAAAGCCGGTTCTGCACGCCCACCCCTCTCTGCGCCGCGGTCCCCATCTGCAAGAAGGACCAACATCGAGGGCCTCTCCATCCATCTCCCATCTACCGCGGGGCCCGGCACCCCTTGCCTGACCGCCTGCTGGCCCACCCTGCCCTTGGGGGCTCGCGGCCTAGCACGTGTCCGGTCACGGGCTTGGTGCCAGTCCAGCAAAGGCCCCTCCCAAAAGCCACAGAGGCAGAGCCGTTGCCCTTTCATTTCACAGAAAGGGGGCTTCTTGAGGGGCTGAGTAACTTGCTCCCAGTCACAGGGCCCTCGGCTCGGGAGGGCCCCACACCAAGGTCCTCACACGGACCCCAGGAGAGGGGGGTGCGGTGACCTTAGCCACGCCCACTCCTCCTTGGGGGACATACAAACCCGAGCTTTGGGATGCCCGTGGGTCCGGGCAGACAGCAGTGGGGGTCCTGGGGGAGGCCCTGGACAGGGGCTGGGTGGTGCCTGTGAGTGAGGCCAGGTCCCACGCATCCCTTTCAGTCCGGGAGCCTGAGGGCAGGGTTGGCCTCCACCCCAGGAGCCCGGCTGGGTGGGAGGGGCAGGAGGGGCTGGGAAGGCTTCTGGCTTCCCTGTCCGGGGGGGGGGGGGGGGGTCCACCTGCCTGCCTGCTTCCCACAGCGCCTACAGCTGCCTGGAGCCTATGCCAGCTCGGGGAACTCCTTCTGCCTGGTGGCCGCCTCAGGCAGGGACACAAAACCACAAGGAGGACGTTGTCTCCTGGGGGCTGGGCGGCCAGCAGGGACTGGTCCTGAGGACTGGCGGGGCCCACGGGCATGGAGTTAGGCAGGCCTGAACTCTCGGTCCGCCCTCTGCAGTCCCCTGCTCTCCACTAGGGCCTATGTTGGAGGGGAGGCTTGCTCTGGTCACTCCTCCAAGAGGCTTGCTCTCTGGGCTCTCAGGCATGTGAGGAAAGGCTACAGCTGGCACCTGGGTTAGCTGTCCACTCCTCTGAGGCCATGACTCTGCAAGGGGCAGCGGGGGGCTTTGAGGGGTCCATTCCCAGGTGTGGGAAACCATGCCCGAGAGTGGGTCTGCTCTCAGCTCCAAGCCCAGGAATCACAGCCATACCCACCCATGGGAGTGGTTGTGGCCGGCAGAAGCAGAGCTGAGCAACAGGCAAGCTCACGGCACCCATCCCGAGCTCTATGTCCCTGGAAATGTCTGTGTTCCCACCCGCCCCGGGCGCCCACCCCTCCCAGATGCCCACCTGCTCTGGGCACCCACCTCCTCTGAATACCCACCCGCCCCCGGTGCACAGGCTACACACACGTGGCCCCAATGTGTGGGCCTGCGGGGGTCTGGTGTGCACAACCAGAGGACAGCTGGTCCAGAGGTATGCAGTGGAGAGGAGCCAGGAGGCAGCACTGCCCAGAGCCTGCCAGCCCCTCTCAGGGCTGCGTTCTGCTGGGTGCCTAGAGGGAGAAAGGAGGGTGGGACAGGAGCCACACCTGGGGCTCCTCAGGGCATGGGGCACGAGAGGGAGCCCATGTTCCCCAGGGTGCGGGGCAGCAGGAAGGCACCTGCCCCAGCTGGGAGCCCAGCGGGGAGGGACCCACTCTTAAGGAGGCTGTGGGGGAAGTTCCGGCCTCAACCAGCAGCCAGGCTTGTGACCTGAGCTCCCCACTGCAGGCTAACCACCTTGTCCTTGCCCAGGGGACACCTGGCGCAGCTGGGAACTGGGCCTGGGGCCACGTTGGTATCCCGCTGTCACCGGTCTCCACTCTTCCGAGCAAGGGTTGGGTTTTAGCAACCTTGCTCCCGCCTCATGGCAAGTGCTGTCGAGGCTCGGGCTCCAGCTCCAGACGGTCCCGCCAGCGCCTACGACTCCCACCCCCGCCCGGTAAGGGATGGAAGGACCAGTCTGTCTGGTACGCAGACCCGGGAAGGCCATGTTCTGGGATTTTCTGATCCCACAGGCAGGGCCAAAGGGGGCTTCGGCTCAGAAGCTGTGACATGTTCTAGAGTCATGGGTCATTTCTTGGTCCTTTAGAGCAAATTAGGGAAATGGCAAAACATAAAAAAGCAGAAGAAAATCAACGTCCTCTCAACCCACCACCTGGAAAAGCCAGCCCACCACTGAGAAGGGCTCCCGTTCCCACCACCTTCCCAGAGCACACCTACAGGCCACCAGCATCTCAGATGCTCACGTCGGGGGTAGGGGCCCTGGAAGGGCTCAGCCACAGGACACCAGTGTCCCTGTTCCCACAGTGGTTTCTGCCTATTTGGCCCCTGCCAGGTGCCGCCTCCTTTCACTGTCCACACTCGCTGCCTTGAGATGAGCAGGTGCTGAGGCCTTCCCAGGCTGGCTTGTCTGCCCTGACCCCCCATCCACCCAGAGCCACCCCAACAAATGGTGCTGGGTGCATGGCCAAAGGGCTGGGATGAAAGACCCCCGGCCTGGGGTGTTGGCCTGACACCTCTCCGGACGGGGCGGGAGCACTGAGGCCTGGGTCCACTCCACACCTCGCTCTCCCACACTCTCCCGGCAACACCCTGGGAGGCCGTCCACACCCCCCCCCCCCCGCTCCGAGTACAAGACGGCTGCTGGGGCTGCGACCCTCCTCCAAGATGAGCGCCTTATCCAGCTTTGCCGTGAAGACCGCACCGGCCCCTGGCCTGGGGTGTTGCCGGATCTCCACTGGAGATAGGCCAAGGGGCCGGGGGTCTGCAGAGTAGTGGACGGCCCACAGCTGAGGAGCACGGGACATCCGTGGGGGGTCATTGCCGTCCCACTGGCCGGGGGCACGTGCTGGGGGCAGAAGGGCCAGGCCCCAGGAGCCGGGGGGAGTGTGTGGCTGCAAATGCTGCACTGACCTTCTTGGGACCATTTGGAGGTTTTTGTTTTTTTAGAGATTTTATTTATTTGAGAGAGAGACCGTGAGATAGGGAACACGAGCAGGGGCAGCGGGAGACAGAGAAGCAGGCTCACTGAGCCCAGAGCCAGACGCAGGGCTCCACCCTGGTGTCCCGGGATCTCAACCAGAGCTGAAAGCAGACGCTTCACTGACGGAGCCCCCCAGGCGCTCCTTCCTTATCGTTGGGTTTTAAAACCTTCTCCAGGGGCGCCTGGGGGGCTCTGTGGGTGAGGCGTTGGGATGCTGGGGTCCTGGGATGGAGCCCACACTCAGCAGGGAGCCTGCTTCTCCCTTTCCTGCCCCCTACCCGCCCCGGCTCGGGGGTGGGCGCGCTCTCTCAAACAAACAAAATCTTAAAAACGACAACAACAGCTCTTCGCTGT